AAAGTTTTGAACTTTGCTTCTTTTTTCACACAAAAATACATCCTGGGCCAGGTGCAGTGGCTTAAGATTGTAATCCTAGCACTTTGGGAAGCTGAGGCAGGAGGATTGATTGAGCCTAGAAGTTCAAGATCAGCCCACACAACATGGCAAGACCCTGTCACTATAAAAGTAAGAAAAATTATCCAGATGTGGTGGTACACACCTGAGTCCCACTTACTCAGGAGACTGAGGTAGGAGGATGCAGTGAGCTGTGATTGTGCCACTGCACTCCAGTCTGGGTGACAGAACAAGATCCTGTCTCTTAAAAAAAAAATGCCGGCCGGGTGGTTGCGCATACCTGTAATCCTAGCACTTTGGGAGGCCCAGGTGGATGGATCGCCTGAGGTCAGGAATTCAAGACCAGCCTGGCCATCATGGTGAAACCTCATCTTTAAAAAAAACAAACAAACAAACAAAATGCCATTTTACATGTAAGGTAAACATAAGTCCTCTTTTGTTTGGGAAAGACCCTGTTATGTGTTATGCCTGCTTTTTAAATGTTTGGATGAGAAATTATATGATCACTTTTTTGTCTTTATTTTACTTTAAGTTCTGGGATACAAGTGCAGAATGTGCAGGTTTGTTACACAGGTATACATGTGACATGATGGTTTGCTGCACCTATCAACCCGTCATCTAGGTTTTAAGCTCTGCATGCATTCAATATTTGTCCTAATGCTCTCCCTCCCCTTGCCTCCCATCCCCCAACAGGCCTCAGTGTGTGATGTTCCCCTCCCTGTGTCCATGTGTTCTCATTGTTCAACTCCAACTTATGAGTGAGAACATGTGGTATTTGGTTTTCTGTTCCTGTGTTAGTTTTCTGAGAATGAATGGCTTCCAGATTGATCCATGTCCCTGCAAAGGATATGAATTCATTCTTTTTTATGGCTGTATAGTATTCTATGGTATATGTGTGCCACATTTTCTTTATCCAGTCTATCATTGATGGGGATTTGGGTTGGTTCCAAGTCTTTGCTATAGTAAATAGTGCTGTAATAAACATACATGTGCATGTGTCTTTATAGTAAAATGATTTATAATCCTTTGGGTATATACCCAGTAATGGGATTGCTGAGTCAACTGATATTTCTGGTTCTAGATCCTTGAGGAATCACCACACTGTCTTCCACAATGGTTGAACTAATTTACATTCCCACCAACAGTGTAAAAGCATTTCTATTTCTCCACAGCCTTGCCAGCATCTGTTGTTTCCTGACTTTTTAATAATCACCATTCTAACTGACACAAGATAGTATCACATTATCGTTTTAATTTGCATTTCTCTAATGACCAGTGATGATGAGCTTTTTTTCATATATTTGTTGGCCACATAAATGTTTTCTTTTGAGATATGTCTGTTCATATCCTTTGCCCACTTTTTGATGAGATTGTTTGTTTTTTTCTTGTAAATTTGTTTAAGTTCCTTGTAGAGTCTGGATGTTGGACCTTTGTCAGATGGGTAGATTGCAAAGATTTTCTCCCATCCTGTGGATTGCCTGTTCACATCTGATGATAGTTTATTTTGTTGTACAGACACTCTTTAGTTTAATTAGATCCGATTTGTCAATTTTGGCTTTTGTTGCAATTGCTTTTGGTGTTTTAGTCATGAAGTCTTTGCCCATGCCTATGTCCTGAATGGTATTGCCTAGGTTTTCTTCTAGGGTTGTTTTGTTTTGGTTTGGTTTTGAGACAGAATTTCACTCTTCTTGTCCAGGCTGGAGTGCAATGGTGCAATCTCAGCTCACTGCAACCTCTGCCTCCTGGGTTCAAGTGATTTTCCTGCCTCAGCCTCCAGGGCAGCTGGGATTACAGGCATGTGCCACCACGCCTGGCTAATTTTTGTATTTTTAGTAGACAGGGTTTCTCCATGTTGGTCAGGCTGGTCTCAAACTCCTGACCTCAGGTGATCCACCCGCCTCAGCCTCCCAAAGTGCTGGGATTACAGGCATGAGCCACTGTGCCCAGCCTCTTCTAGGGTTTTGTTTGTTTTGTTTTGTTTTGTTTTGTTTTGTTTTGTTTTGTTTTGTTTTGTTCTGAGACAGAGTTTCACTCTTGTTGCCTAGGCTGGTGTGCAATGGCATGATCTCGGCTCACCACAGCCTCCACCTCCCAGGTTAAAGAGATTCTCCTGCCTCAGCCTCCCGAGTAGCTGGGATTACAGGTGCCTGCCGCCAGACCCAGCTAATTTTTGTATTTTTAGTAGAGACGGACTTTCACTGTGTTGGCCAGGCTGGTCTTGAACTCCTGACCTCATGATCTGCCTGCCTCGGCTTCCCAAAGTGCTGAAGTGAGCCACCGCGACCTGCCTCTTTTTTCCTTTTTTTGAGCCAGGGTCTTGCTCTGTTGCCCAGGCTGGAGCACAGTCGCGTGATCATGGCTCACTGCAGACTTGATCTCCTGAGATCAGGAGGTCTGCATGCCTCAGCCTCCCAAGTAGCTGGGACGACTGCAGGCATGTGCCACCACGCGTGGCTAAATTTGTTTGGTTTTGTTTTTATTTTATTTTATTTTGTTTGAGACAGAGTCTCAATCTCTCACCCATACTGGAGTTCAGTGGCGAGATCTCGGCTCACTTCAACCTCCTCCGGGTTCAAGCAATTCTCCTGCCTCAGCCTCCCAAGTAGCTGGGACTACAGGCCAAAGATGCCACTCCCAGCTAATTTTTTTTATTTTAGTAGAGACGGTTTCACCGTGTTGCCCAGGCAATCTACCCACATCTGCCTCCCAAGATGCTGGGATTACAGGCATGAGCCACCACTCCCAGCCTGCGAAATTTTTTGTTTTGTTTGTTGTATAGATGAGGTCTTGTGTTGTTGCCCAAGGCAACTCCTGGGATCAAGACCCTCCTGCCATACCCGCCCAAAGTTCTGGGATTACAGGTGTTAGCCAAAATGCCCCACCACTTTGCAAAATATTCTAACAATTCAGATAAGATTAAATTGCCCTTGACCTCCCTCCACCCAGTTCCACTCCTTTCCCAGGAGATGACCACTGCTGACAGTTTATTTGTATCTTTCTTTCATCATTGTTAAAAAGTTATGTGTGAATCCCTTTGAGCTGCTTGAATCTGTGTTTATTATTAGTTGTAAAAGTCCCCACTGACCACAGAAACACTCCTTATGGGGAAAGGGAAGTTTTAAAATAGGGGAGCAACAATATTTGTCATAAACTTGACCCCAGGTCTTTTTTAGATCCCAAAGAGCAGGAGAAGGATGGCTTAATGTGACTGTTCAGAGGCTGGGAGTGGACAAAGAAAGGAAGCCCAGAACAATAGGGTCCTTCCACGTCTGCCTTTCTGGATGGAGGTGGGGCCGCTGCAGTTAGCGTGAAATTAGTTTAAACCAATGTAATTTAGGGATTGGGAAGTCACCAGAGTTAAACTCCCCCCACTGCCCAACCCCGCATTCCTTGTGAATACATATTTTAATTTTTTTTTACAGAATTAAACTTTTAAATCTTTACTTTGAACTCTTTAATTTTATTTTTTACTTTATTTTTTTTTTTTGAGATAGGGTCTTACTCCTGATCACAGCTCACTACAGCCTTGACCTCCTGGGTTCAGGCAATCTTCCTGCCTCAGCCTCCCAAGTAGCTACAGGGTTTCACCACCATGCCCTGTTGCCCAAGGCTGGTCTCCAGCTCCTGGGCTCAAGGGATCCTCCCGTCTTGGCCTCCCAAAGTGCTAGGATTATAGGCATGAGCCACCATGCCCAGCCCTTTACTCGTCTTACTATCATCCCCAATTTTTTGTATTACGTATTACCTTTTTTTTTTTTTGAGACAGAGTTTTGCTCTTGTTGCCCAGGCTGGAGTGCAATGGTGCAATCTCAGCTCACTGCAATCTCTGCCTCCTGGGTTCAAGTAATTTTCTTGCCTCAGCCTACCGAGTAGCTGGAATTACAGGCATGTACTACTACGCCCAGCTAATTTGTCTTTTTTTTTTTAAAGACGGGGTTTCATCATGTTGGTCAGGCTGGTCTCAAACTCCTGACCTCAGGTGATCCACCCGCCTCAGCCTCCCAAAGTGCTGGGATTACAGGCATGAGCCAAGGTGCCCGGCTGTTTTTTTTTGTTTTTTTTTTTTTAAATAGAGACAGGATTTCATCATGTTGGCCAGGCTCATCTCAAACTCCCAACCTCAGGTGATCCACCTACCTCAGCCACCCAAAGTGCTAGGATTATAGGCATGAGCCACCATGCCCGGAGTATTTTTACTTTTTATTCTAGGATAGAATATGGTAAGAAGAGTGGGGAAGTCTGAGTGTCAGATGCTTATTTATTTATATTTTTATTTTTTATTTTTTTTGAGACGGAGTTTTGCTCTTGTTACCCAGGCTGGAGTGCAATGGTGCAATCTCAGCTCCCCGCAACCTCCGCCTCCCGGGTTCAAGCAATTCTCCTGCCTCAGCCTCCCGAGTAGCTGGGACTACAGGCGTGCACCACCATGCCCAGCTAATTTTTGTATTTTTAGTAGAGATGGGGTTTCACCATGTTGACCAGGATGATTTCGATCTCTTGACCTCGTGATCCACCCGCCTCGGCCTCCCAAAGTGCTGGGATTACAAGCGTGAGCCACCGCGCCCGGCCTTATATTTTTATTTTTGAGATGGAGCCTTGCTCTGTCGCCCAGGCTGGAGTGCAATGGCGCAATCTCGGCTCACTGCAGCCTCTGTCATCTCCCAGGATCAAGTGATTCTCCTGCCTCAGCCTCCCGAATAGTTGGGACTACAGGTGCATGCCACCTTGCCTGGCTAATTTTTGTATTTCCTTATTTATTTTTATTTATTTTGTTTTGTTTTAATTTTTGTATTTTTAGTAGAGATGGGGTTTCACTATGTTGATCAGGCTGGTCTCGAACTCCTGACTTCGTGACCCACCTGCCTCAGCCTCCCAAAATGTTGGGATTACAGGCGTGAGCCACCTCGCCCAGCCACACATGCTTCTATTTTATTTTATTATTTTTTTTAGACAGAGTCTTGCTCTGTCACCCAGGCTAGAGTGGAGTGGCATGATCGTGGCTCACTGCAGACTCTGCCTCCCAGGTTCAAGCAATTCTCCTGCCTCACCCTCCCAACACGTAGTTGGAACTACAAGCTTGCACCACCACTTCCTGCTTTTTTTTTTTTTTTTTTTTTGAGACGGAGTTTCACTCATGTTACCCAGGCTGGAGTGCAATGGCACAATCTCAGCTCACCGCAACCTCCGCCTCCTGGGTTCAGGCAATTCTCCTGCCTCAGCCTCCTGAGTAGCTGGGATTACAGGCACGTGCCACCATGCCCAGCTAATGTTTTGTATTTTTAGTAGAGACGGGGTTTCACCATGTTGACCAGGATGGTCTCGATCTCTTGACCTCGTGATCCACCCGCCTCGGCCTCCCAAAGTGCTGGGATTACAGGCTTGAGCCACCGCGCCCGGCCTTTTTTTCATTTTTAGTAGAAACTTAGTTTTGGCATGTTGGTCAGGCTGGTCTCAAACTCCTGGCCTCAAGTGATCCATCCCTGCCCCCCTTGGCCTCCCAAAGTGTAGGGTTTACAGATGTGAGTCACCACACCCAGCCTACCAGATGCTTCTTTAGATCCAAACTTCCTTTTTTTTTTTTTTGAGATAGAGTTTTGCTCCTGTTGCCCAGGCTGGAGTGCAATGGTGCAATCTCGGCTCACTGCAACCTCTGCCTCCAGAGTTCAAGTGATTCTCCTGCCTCAGCCTCCCAAGTAGCTGGAATTACAGGCATGCACCACCACGCCCAGCTAATTTTGTATTTTTAGTGGAGATGGGGTTTCTCCATGTTGGTCAGGCTGGTCTTGAACTTCTGACCTCATGTGATCCGTCCACCTCGGCCTCCCAAAGTGCTAGAATTACAGATATAAGCCACCACACCTGGCCTAGATCCAAACTTTCTAACTGCCCTGGACTTAGAAAGTACTACTGAAGATGGCGGCATTAAAGTTATTTTGCTGCTTAACAATCGAGATTGGCTGAATGTTACATAGTCTTTTTTGTCTGTTAATTTGTAGAAACAGGGTCTCATTATGTTCCTCAGTCTGATCTGGAACTCCTAGCCTCAAGTGAGGGCGTGGTTGCTCACGCCTATAATCCTAGCACTTTGGGAGGCCAAGGTGGGTGGATCACCTGAGGTCAGGAGTTCACGACCAGCCTGGCCATCATGGTGAAACCCCATCTTAAAAATAAATAAATAAATAACCGTAAACCACCACACCTGGCTTGTTACAGAACCTTTTCATTAAGAAAGTTGCTTTATGCCAGACTCAGTGGCCCACGCCTGTAATCCCAGCACTTTGGGAGGCCAAGGTAGGCAGACTGCTGGAGCCCAGGAGTTCAAGACCAGCCCGGGCAACATAACAAAACCCTGCCTTTACAAAAAATACAAAAACTAGCTGGGTGCTGTGTTGCTCACCTGGAGCCCCAGCTACTGGGAAGGCTGAGGTGGGAGGATGGCTTGAATTGAGGAGGTTGAGGCTGCAGTGGGTTGTTATGGCGCCACTCCATTCCAGCCTGGGTGACAGCAAGACTGTGTCTCAAAAACAAAAAAAGTTGCTGTTTATGTTGTTTTTAGATTACCAGGCTATTTTCACAAGATATTAATTAATTCCTTTAATTATTAAAAAAAATACTGAATTTTACCCACCTCAGGCCAGATGTATTTAGGGAATTGGGAAATTCCTAATCTGGGCCTCCGATTAAATGACAAAAGCTCAAGACTGGGACTGTCATCCTGCCACTGAACGCTGTGTGATCTCTCACTTAATTGCACAATGCTTCATTTGCCTCATCTGTAAAGTAAGAATGTTGGTACAAACGATTTCTAAGTTTCTAGGGTTCAAAACCCTATTAGTTGAACCCATCTAGTTAATGTAAGACTGTCAGACTGAATCATACATTCAAAATGAAGAGTTGGATCAATTTATAGATCATTCTAGAAAAAAATTAAAAATGAGTTAGACCTCAATTAGATATATTTCAGGCCACATTGTTTAGTCTATTTTATTTTTCTGGGGCTGTAAGACCAGAACACTACCTGACAGATCAAGGTAACTTGCTTGTTCTCAGATCCATTTCACCTAGATGGGACCCTCAGAGATTCAAGCATTTATACCTAACAATGCCAGGCTCCATATACACTGAAAAAACAAAGACATTCAGCCCCAGTGCCAACCAAATCCTACATGTAGTGTCTACCACCATTTAGCTAACCAGGCTTTTGCAATTGAAAAGTGCCAGTGAGTCACCTGGAGACCTTTTTAAAATGCACATTCTGATTCAGTAGATCTAGGGTAAGGCTCAAGATTCTCCATTTCTAACAAGTTCCCAGTTGATGTGATGCTGCTGGTCTGTGTTTCACACTTACAGTGGCAAGGGAGCTAAACTACTAGCAGCCCACTGTCTTCTTTTTCAAATGCATGCTATTTTTGATTTTTAAAAAACTCTTTAGCTGATCAATCTAATGCTGCTTTCAAATAACATTCGTGAAATAAAGTCAGAATTAAGGTCCTTCCTAAAATAAATGTGTTGGGTGTGGAGGCATTACACTTTGCTAAAGGTTAGGAAACTTAGAAATGTGTTTCTTCTTTAAATCTATAGATAGATACCTTACAGTAGCAAAGATTCATTAACATATATAAATATCTTGCTCTAAAACAGGAGTCAAGGCAGTAGATTGTAAGGATTCATAACATAACCTAGCAAAACCTTTTAGCCCCCACACCCAGTACGTACAAAAGGCTTAAACAAAAGATATATAACCAACTAAGGCAAAAGATATGAAGAGGCATTTCATAGAAGGGACTTGAACAGTCAATAAACATATGAAAAAATCCCACCAGGCCGGGCACGGTGGCTCATGCCTGTAATCCCAGCACTTTAGGAGGCTGAGGCAGTCAGATCACAAGGTCAGAAGTTTGAGACCAGGGGCGGGGAGACGTTTATTAAAAAAAAAAAAAAAGTTTGGGACGAGCCTGACCAACATGATGAAACCCCGTCTCTCCTAAAAATACAAAAATTAGCCAGGAGAGGTGGCGTGCGCCTGTAGTCCCAGCTACTCAGAAGGCTGAGGCAAGAGAATCCCTTGAACCTGGGAGGCAGAGGTTGCAGTGAGATGAGATTGTGCCATTGCACTCCAGCCTGGGCAACAAGAGCAAAACTCTGTCTCAAAAAAAAAAAAAAAAAAAAAAAGGATATGTTATACACTGCTAGTGGGATTTAAGCTGGTGCAATTACTTTATTTATATTTATTTATTTATTTATTATTTTTGTCATCCAGGCTAGAGTGCAGTGGTATAATCACAGCTCCATGTAACCTCTACCTCTAGGGCTCAACTGATCCTCCCACCTCAGCTTCCTGAGTAGCTGAGACTACAGGCAAATGCCACAAGTCCTAGCTAATTTTTGTATCTTTTTGTAGAGATGGGATTGTGCCATGTTGTCCGGGCTGGTCTCCAACTTCTGGCCTCAAGTGATCCACCCCACTCAGCCTTCCAGATTTAGCCAAGGGCTGAAATTTAAAAAGAGATGGGATTACAGGCGTAAGCCACTGTGCCCAGCCCCTAACTATATTTTAATAGTCATATAATAATCTATTATATCATATCAAGCAGATAATTTACTTAGCTGTTTTCATATTATTAACAATTAGATTGTTTCCTTTATTCATTATTCTGCTTTTCCAGTTTTCCTTCTCTTTTCAGTAATTTCCATATGAAAAACTTCTAACAGAATAATTACAAGGTCAAAGGGTTTGAACATGTATACAAGTCTTCAGACATGTACATAAAATAATTTCTGCAGCTGAAAGTATATCTTCACTCAGATGTACTTCCATCACTTCAAATTCAGACTTTCTAAAATAGAAGTAGCTGCTGCATTCCAGCCTAGGCAACAGAGTGAGACCCTGTCTCAAAAATAAAATAAAATAGAACAGCTCCCTGTTATCACCCTTTCTAAATGTTTTCCTTCTCCCCTTTACTCCATTACAGGCAATAGAAATATCGGGAACCCAGGCTGGCCAAATTCCTGTTCCTAATTCCTAGAAATATCCTCCTAGAAGAAAGACTGTCCTGGAGGAGACAGATCTCCCTCAAGGGCCTAAATGTACTGTGAAGTGCTTTTGGAAACTCTGCTAATATGCTTAAGAATTTCTTCAGCTGTGATGACTATGTTAAAAACATTTATATATATATATATATATATTCACACACACACACACACACACACGTATCTGTATATATAGTCCTCAGCCTCCCGAGTAGCTGAGACTACAGATGTGCACCACCATGACTGGCTAATTTTTCTTTGTTTTATGTTTTTGTTTCTTTTTTTTTGGTGGGGGGGCAGGGGGGATGGGCTCTGTTGCCCAGGCTGGAGTGCAGTAGCATGATCTCAGTTCACTGCAACCTCCGCTTCCTGGGTTCAAGAGATTCTCCTGCCTTAGCCTCCCAGGTCGCTGGGACTACAGGTTCATATCACCACCCTCAGCTAATTTTTTGTATTTTTAGTAGAGATGGGGTTTCACCATGTTAGCCACTATGGTCTTGATCTCCTGACCTTGATCTGCCTGCCTCAGCCTGTCAAAGTGCTGGGATTACAGGCATGAGCCACTGCGCCTGGTCCTTTGTTTTTTGTTTGTTTGCTTTTGTTTGGGTTTTTTTTTTTTTTTTTTTTGGAGACAGTGCTTCACCACGTTGGCCAGGCTGCTCTGGAACTCCTGATCTCAGGTAATCCACCTGCCTCAGCCTCCCAAAGTGCTGGGATTACAGATGTGCGTCACCACACCTGGCTGCCTGGCTAATTTTTGTATTTTTTGTAGAGACAGGGGACTCACTATGTTGCCCAGGCTGGTCTCGAACTCATGAGCTCAAGCGATCCATCTGCCTTGACCTCCCAAAGTGCTGAGACTACAGGTGTGAGCCACCACGTCCATCCTTGTCTCTGATTTTTTAAAGAAAAGAAGGAGAAAAACCAACAATCTGACCATATAGAGAGGTCAGATTTAGTGGTCATTTAGAAGCCTAGCCCTGGGAAGCAAACTACTAGCCACGCCACCCTAGTGCTGGGTGAGTTACTGATCTTCTCTGTGCCTCATCTCCTTATCTGTAAAATAGAGATGAATATTTTATATATACACACTTACACATATGTGTATAAACCTTAGTATTTTTCAAGCCTGTCTAAGCAAGATCTCATTCACTCCCTGATTCAATTCCCATATACACCACATGAATTCCAAGTCTCCGACTATACAGCAGCCTGCCTGTTGAAGTTCAGACTTGTTTCTGTTCTTTTCTTTTTTTTTCTTTCTTTCTTTCTATTTTCTTTTTTTTTTTTTTTTTTTTTTTCGTTGTTTTGCTTGTTACCCAGGCTGGAGTGCAGTGGCACGATCTCGGCTCACTGCAACCTTCGCCTCCTGGGTTCAGGCAATTCTCCTGCCTCAGCCTCCTGAGTAGCTGGGATTACAGGCACGTGCCACCATGCCCAGCTAATTTTTTGTATTTTTAGTAGAGACGGGGTTTCACCATGTTGACCAGGATGGTCTCGATCTCTTGACCTCGTGATCCACGTGCCTCGGCCTCCCAAAGTGCTGGGATTATAGGTGTGAGCCACCGCGCCCGGCCTCTTTCTATTTTCACATTGAAGGCCATATTAAAGTTATTATCCTCACCTATCAATCTACATTTCTTTCCTATTGTTCAAGGTAGGCACTTTGTCATCATTCTTTTGTTGTTGTTGTTATTTTTATTTTATTTTTTTTTGGTGCCGTGACTCGGATTATTTTTGTTTTTTGAGATAAAGTCTCGCTCTGTCACCCAGGTTGGAGTGTAGTGGCTTGATCTCAGCTCATTGCAACCTCCATCTCTCGGGTTCAAGCGACTCTTCTGCCTCAGCCTCCTGAGTAGCTGGGACTATAGGCGCACGCCACCACACCAGGCTATTTTTTTTTTTTTTTTTAACTTCACATGTCCTTGAATTAACACCTGGCTAATTTTTGTATTTTTAGTAGAGACAGGGTTTCACCATGTTGGCCAGGCTGGTCTCAAACTCCTGACCTCGTGATCGACTGCCTCGGCCTCCCAAAGTGTTGGGATCGCAGGCTTGAGCCACCACACCCAGCCCTGTCATCATTCTTTACTTCAACCTCTGCTCAGTTTTTTGCATTACCTATCTCAGCTAATGGCACCATTAATCCTATCATCCAAACCAGAATGGGAGCATCACCTTTGATTCTCTATCTTCATCTCTACTACCAAATCCATTTGTAAATTCTCTCATTCAAACATTTCTCGGTTTTCTGCCTTCATCTCCAATCCTATCACCACTAATATATGTTAGGTCCTCAAACCCTCACTATTGGGATCACCTTCCTTTTCTTTCTTTTTCTTTTTCTTTTTGAGACAGGGTCTCACTCTGTGACCCAGGCTGGAGTACAGTGGCACAATCACAGCTTACTGCAGTCTCAGCTTCCTAGGCTCAAGCAATCCTCCCACCTCAGTCTCCAGAGTAGCTGTGACCATAGGTGTATGTACCACTATCCTTAGGTAATTTTTAAATTTTTTGTAGAGATGGGGTCTCACTTTGTTGCCAGGCTGGTCTCAAACTGTTGGCCTTAAAGTGATCCTCCCTTGCAAACTCCTCCTCCCAAAGTGCTGAGACTACAAGCACAAGCCACCATGCCCAGGTTACCTTTGAATTATTCTTCCCATCTTCAATCTCTCTTCTCTGACTTCCCCCTCTATCCTGTTCTGTAGCCAATCATCTTTCTAGAATGAAATCCAATCATGTTCCTTCCCTAGAAATCCTAAATGGCTCCCTATTGTTTTCAGGATAAAAAGCATACCCTTTCTCATAGATGAAGATATTTAACATTTTAACAAACAATACTGGTAACTAAGATTTAGCCAGCACTTACTGTGGGTCAGATAGCATTCAAGATGATTTGCATGATCGGTCTCAGTGGCTCATGCCTGTAATCCCAGCACTTTAGGAGGCTGAGGCAGGTGGATCACTTGATGTCAGGAGTTCAAGACCAGCCTGATCAACATGGAGAAACCCCATCTCTATTAAAAACACAAAAATTAGCTGGGCATGGTGGCATGCGCCTGTAGTCCCAGCCACTTGGGAGGCTGAGGAAGGAGAATTGCTTGAACACAGGAAGTGGAGGTTGCAGTGAGCCAAGATTGCACCACTGCACTCCAGCCTGGTGACAGAGTGAGACTTTGTCTCAAACAAACAAACAAAAAGATGCTTTTCATTTATTAACTTGTCCTCACAACAACCGTATAAAATGGCATTATTATCATTCTGTGCTTGGCCCATAGTAGATGTTCGATGAATACTATTGAATGAGTGCATTCCTCTTTTAGAGTTGGGAAATGTGGCTTAGGACATTAGGTTACCCAAGATTTCATAGCTAGTAAATGGTTAAGATGTTACACAGCACAGTCTGTCTCCAGGGCCTACAAACATTATCCATGAAACCTCAAGGCTCTTTAAGATCATATCATAGCCTAACCTACTTTTCTTTTTTTTTTCTTTTTGAGACAGGGTCTGATTCTGTTACCTAGGCTGGAGTGCAGTGGTGCTATCACGGCTCACTGCAGCCTCGACCTCGACCTCCTGGTCTCAAGCCATCCTCCTGCCTCAGCCTCCCAAGTAGCTGGGATTACAGGCACACACCACCACATCTGACTAATTTTTTTGTTTGTTTTTTTGAGATGGAATCTTACTCTGTCACTCAGGCTAGAGTACAGTGGTGTGATCTTGGCTCACTGCAACCTCCACCTCGCAGATTCAAGTGATTCTCCTGTCTCAGCCTCCTGAGTAGCTGGATTACAAGCATGCACCACCACACATGGCTAATTTTTGTATTTTTAATAGAGATAGGGTTTCACCATATTGGCCAGGCTGGTCTCGAACTCCTGACCTCAAGGGATCCGCCCACCTTGGCCTCCCAAAGTGCTGAGATTACAGGCAGGAGCCACTAGGCCTGGCCATCCAACCTTTTTATGAGTCCTATGAGAAGCATCCTCTACCCTGAGGCAGAACTACTCATTTCCTCTTCTTTTGCTCCCATAGCACTTTATGTATTCCTCTAATTACAGACACTCTACACTACATCAAGATTTATTTAGGTGTCTGCTTCTTACCAGGTTGTGTTCTCCTTCAGGGCAAGAGCTAAATTTCATTCATGTTTGTATCCCCAGCCTGGCTAGGGATGTGATCAGGATTCAATATTTGTTAAATGAATGAATAAATGGATGTCTTTGATTTGACTTTGCAAAAGATATAGGAAATATTTATTTGAAAGGACTTTTTTTTTTTTTTTTGAGCTGGAGTTTTGCTCTTGTTGCCCAGGCTGGAGTACAATGACGCAATCTCGGCTCACTGTGACCTCTGCCTCCTGGGTTCAAGTGATTCTCCTGCCTCAGCTTCCCAAGTAGGTGGGACTACAGGCGTGTGCCACCATGCCCAGCTAATTTTTGTATTTTTAGTAGAGACGGAGTTTCACCATATTGGCCAGGCTAGGTTTGTCTCAAACTCCTGACCTTGGTGATCCACCCGCCTCAGCCTCCCAAATTGCTGGGATTACAGGTGTGAGCCACCACGCCCGGCCTAAGGACATTTTTTCAATAATCACCTTTGTATAGAAGCTAAGGGCACAAGATTAAATCTTAGCAAAGGTTTTTGGCAGGAGGCTATTTCAATATCAACAAGATATCTTGCTTTCTAACATTACTTATTACAAGGGTGTCAAGGAATAGTTACAAAGACAAATCTTAAGTGCACTTAATGGAGGACAAGGCAAATGAATGTGAATAGTTTGGTAACATAAGCAATCTAGAGAATGAAGCCTAGGGAACTTAAAGGCCACAAAGGCCTTAAATGTTTTCATTTATCTTTTAAATTTTGGAAAAAGGAGTTGACAATAGAAGAAAAAAATTACCAGGCACCTGTGCTAAGTTAATGTTTATGGATTCTAGTTTGAATGGCTTCTCGAAAGATTAAGGACATCGAGGTCCTCATTGTACATAATGTATCATCTTTTCTTTGTCTATGAGATGTTGATAACTGCAAGTTCAGTTTCTGAGCCCTGTCATTTGGTAGGTTCTTTGGATCCTTGGATCTCTGGAAATTGTTGATTCTTGCCAACTGGTCTTACTAATTACAAGCTTCCAGAGAGATGCATCTGACTCATTGACAAATCCAGAAAGTAAAACCATCCTCTCTATTGTTGTCCTGGTATATACTTGACAATTATTCCAATATTATTTTCAGTGACTTTGTTAAGTCTTTCCACTTTTTCCCTCCCCACCTTTCTCTGTGTAACCAAACACATTAGTTGAAAAATTCTCAAGAACTTTTTCTTACTTCCATTCCATAAATATGGCCCAAAGCATCAACTCCATGATGATAAAAAAAAAAAAAAAAAAAAAAAAAAAAAAAAAAAGCTTGCAAAGAAGTATATGCCTAGAAGCTTCTTCTAAGCTTCTTCTAGCTATTTGTCACTGCTTATTCGGTAAACTTAATCTTCTTGCCAAATAGGAACCAGGATAACAAGAAAAACAGCTGGGTCATGAGTATAGGAGCATCACGGAAGTGCCTGGGTATAGACAAACAGGAGCTTTTGTGCTGAGCTGATCGAACTGTCGGGTTATAAACTGACTGTTTAGTGAGCCAGAGAGGTTCAAGATTCTGAAAGAGAGAATGATTAATTGCACAAAGGCCAAGAGGACGGGAGTGGGGAGAGTGTGATCCACAGCATAGGTAGAAAAAATAGCCTTAATAGGTGAAAGGAAGGGTGTTATTTTGGAGGCAGGAAGTCGGGGGAGTTCCTTTCAAAGACTTCTGTTTTCTCTAAAGTTGGAGGTGAAGTCATTGTTGGAGGGAGGGAAGGGTGGGTCAGAGGTTTGTGGAGATTTTAAATGGCTATTGTGGATAATGGGAAGCACTGGCTTAGGCTGGGCACCCTTACAGGTGAAAAGGCAAAGAAATGAGCAACGTGATGGGCCAAGAGCTACAGGATGAAGAAGGAAGAGATGAAGGCAGAAGGGACTCCAAAGGGAGAAAGGAGAAGGGCCCAAACACTCGAGTACAAGGAGCAATTGAGGAAAGGGCAGAGGAGGAGAAAAGTTTGGTCAAAGAGTGGTATGTCCAAATTCTCCTTATTATTATTATTATTATTATTATTTTTTTTTTTTTGAGACGGAGTTTCGCTCTTGTTACCCAGGCTGGAGTGCAATGGCGCGATCTCGGCTCACCGCAACCTCCGCCTCCTGGGTTCAAGCAATTCTCCTGCCTCAGCCTCCTGAGTAGCTGGGATTACAGGCACGCACCACCATGCCCAGCTAATGTTTTGTAGTTTTAGTAGAGACGGGGTTTCACCATGTTGACCAGGATGGTCTCGATCTCTTGACCTCGTGATACACCCGCCTCGGCCTCCCAAAGTGCTGGGATTACAAGCGTGAGCCACCGTGCCCGGCCTCTCCTTATTATTTTAAGTTCAACAAACAGTATCAGCTTAAAATTAAATATGCAGCTTTTTTTTTCTTTTTTTGGGGGGGGACAGGGTCTCTTGCTGTTGCCCAGGCTGGAGTGCCATGGCATGATCACAGCTCACCACAGCCTTGACCTCCCCAGGCTCAGGTGATCCTCCCACCTCAGCCTCCTGAATAGCCAGGACTACAGGCCTACCTATGCCACCATGCTTGGCTAATTTTTGTATTTTTTGTTTTCTTTTTTTTTTTTGAGACAGAGTCTTGCTCTGTCGCCCAGACTAGAGTACAGTGGCATCATCTCGGCTCACTGCAACCTCTGCCTCCCAGGTTGAAGTGATTCTCCTGCCTTAGCCTTCTGATTAGCTGGGACTACAGGCATGTGCCACCATGCCCAGCTAATTTTTGTATTTTTAATAGAGACAGAGTTTCGCCATGTTGGCCAGGCTGGTCTCAAACTCCTGATCTCAAGAGATCCGCCCACCCCAGCCTCCCAATGTTTTGGGATTACAGGCATGAGCCACCATCCCTGACCCAATTTTTGTATTTTTTTGTAGAGATGGGATCTCACTATTGCTCAAGGTTGGTCTCAAACTCCTGGGCTCAAGTGCTGCTCCCACCTCAGCCTCCCAATGTGCTGGGATCACAGGCATGAGTCACTATCCCTGGCCACAGTTTTGTTTGTTTATTTGTTTTTAATTTTTCTTTCTTTTTTTTGAGACAGAGTCCTGCTTTGGCACCCAGGCTGGTGTACAGTGGCACAATCTCAGCTCATTGCAACCTCTGCCTCCCCAGTTCAGGCGATTCTCATGCCTCAGCCAGGGAGGCTGGGATTACAGGCATGTGCCACCACACCTAGCTAATTGTTTTAATTTTTAGTAGAAATGGGGTTTTGCCATGTTGCCCAGGCTGGTCTCGAACTCCTGGCCTCAAGAGATCTACCTGCCTCAGCCTCCCAAAGTACTGAAATTACAGGCGTGAGCCAATGTGCCCAGCCCCACCCACAATTTTGTAATCTTGCATTTAAACATTGGTTTTATCTACAGATTGTAGTTTTCAAGCCTTTTTATTTTTAATTTATATATATACACACACATCTCTATATATACACACACACAACAAATATAACAAATTTGTTATATTTGTTATATATATACCACTATGCATATATATGTATGTATGTATATATAAGAATATGGTGGGGCGCAGTGGCTCAAGCCTGTAATCCCAGCACTTTGAGAGGCTGAGGCGGGCGGATCACCAGGTCAAGGGATCGAGACCATCCTGGCCAACATGGTGAAACCCCATCTCTACTAAAAATACAAAAATTAGCTGGGTGTGGTGGTGTGTGTCTGTAGTCCCAGCTACTTGGGAGGCTGAGGCAGGAGAATTGCTTGAATCCGGGAGGCGGAGGTTGCAGTGAGCCGAGATTGTGCCACTGCACTCCAGCCTGGCGCCTGGCAATCGAGTGAGACTCTGTCTCAAAAAAAAAAAAAAAAAAAGAAAAAATAATATAACAACAAAAACATATATATATGCGCGCGCGCGCGCGCGCGCACACACACACACACACACACACACACACATATACTTGTTTTGTTGTTGTTGTTGTTGTTTTTGAGACGGAGTTTCGCTCTTGTTACTCACGCTGAGTGCAATGGCGTGATCGCGATCTCGGCTCACCGCAACCTCCGCCTCCTGGGTTCAGGCAGTTCTCCTGCCTCAGCCTCCCGAGTAGCTGGGACTATAGGCGCGCGCCACTATGCCCAGCTAATTTTTGCATTTTTAGTAGAGATGGGGTTTCACCATGTTGGCCAGGATGGTCTCAATCTCTTGACCTCGTGATCCACCCGCCTAGGCTTCCCAAAGTGCTTGTACTCTTACATTAAGAGTACAACAGCTACTGTTGTACTCAATGTAATATAAAGAGACAAGACAGAAAACTTACTTAGTTCTGGGACTGTGCACCACCACACTCAACAGTCTTTTTCTTGTTGGGCTTCTGAGTTGGGAAGCTGCTTAGGTCTCTTTAACCATAAGTTGATATTTTTTTTTCCTACAACCCCAGCACTTTGTGAGGGTAAGGGGTGAAGATTGCTTCAGGCCAGGAGTTCAAGACCAGCCTGGGCAATGGACTGAGGCCCCATTTCTTTCTTTCTTCTTTTTCTTTTGCTTTTTTTGTTTTTTGGAGACAGCATCTTGCTCTGTCACCCAAACTGGAGGGCAGTGGCATAGTCATGACTTACTGCAGCCTCAAAGTCTTCGGCTTCAGTGATCCTCTGCTTTAGTCTCCTGAGTAGCTGGGATTACAGGTGTGAGTTGCTGTGCTTGGCCTAAATTTCTTTATGTTTTGTAGAGATGGGCGTCTTGCTATGCAACCCCTGGCTGGTCTCAAACTCCTGGGCTCAAGCAATCTCGTCTTGGCCTCCAAAGTGCTGAGATTACAGGTGTGAGCCACTGCTGACTATCATGCTTCTTTTTAACAACAAGGCCGGGTGCAGTGGCTCACGCCTGTAATCCCTGCACTTTAGGAGGCTGAGGTGGGTGGATCGCCTGAAGTCAGGAATTCAAGACCGGCCTGGCCAACAAGGTGAAACCCCGTCTCTACTAAAAATACAAAAAATTATCTAAACATAGTGGCATCCGCCTGTAATCCCAGCTACTCAGGAGGCTGAGGCAGGAAAATCCCTTGAATCGGGGAGGCGGAGGTTGTAGTGAGCTGAGATCTTGCTCCTGCACTCCAGCTTGGGTGACAAAGCAAGACTCCATTTCAAAAAAAAAAAAGAAAGAAAGAGAAAGAGAGAGAGGGAGAGAGGGAGGGAGGGAGGGAGGGAGGGAGGAAGGGAGGAGGAAAAGAGGGAGGCAGGGAGGGACAAAGACAAGTAAAGCAAGAAAAAGAGGCAAAGAATATGAACAGAAGAGGAAACATAGCCACAAAAGAGGAAATCCAAGTGATCAACAAATGTATGAAAATAGTAGTCAGGAAAATAAAAACTAAAATAACCTTAAAATAACAACCCATGCTGGAAAGAGAATTTCGGAAATGAGAACTCTAAAATTCATTGAGTGAGTGTGTGTGTGTGTGTGTGTGTGTGTGTGTGTGTGTGTGTGTATTACTAGAGCCTTCTAAAAATAATCTAACATCTATAAAATAGAAAAATTAAGGGAGCCCCATCCTGACCAACATAGAGAAACCCAGTCTCCTTAGCCGGGTGTGGTGGTACATGCCTGTAATCCCAGCTACTCGGGAGGCTGAGGCAGGAGAATCGCTTGAACCTGGGAGGTGGAGGTTGCGGTGAGCCAAGATCACACCGCTGCCCTCCAGCCTGGGTGACAGAGTGAAACTCTGTCTCAAAAAAAAAAAAAGAGAAACCCAGTCTCTACTAATAATATAAAAATAGGCCGGGCGCGGTGGCTCAAGCCTGTAATCCCAGCACTTTGGGAGGCCGAGGCGGGTGGATCACAAGGTCAAGAGATCGAGACCATCCTGGTCAACATGGTGAAACCCCGTCTCTACTAAAAATACAAAAAATTAGCTGGGCATGGTGGCGAGTGCCTGTAATCCCAGCTACTCAGGAGGCTGAGGCAGGAGAATTGCCTGAACCCAGGAGGCGGAGGTTGCGGTGAGCCGAGATCCCGCCATTGCACTCCGGCCTGGGTAACAAGAAAGAAACTCCGTCTCAAAAAAAAAAAAAAAAATTAGCTGGGTATGATGGTGCATGCCTGTAATCTCAGCTACTCAGGAGGCTAAGGCAGGAAAATCGCTTGAACCCAGGAGGTGGAAGTTGCAGTGAGCTGAGATTGTGCCATTGCATTCCAGTCTGGGCAACAAGAGTGAAATTCCATCTCAAAAAAACAAAACAAAACAACAGAAAAATTAGATTAAAATAAAAATATACATATGCTTTGTCTTTTGTTGTTTTGTGACAGGATCACCTTTGTTGCCCAGGCTGGAGTGCAGTGGTGAGATTATAGCTCACTGTAGCCTCGAATTTTTGGGCTCAGGCGGTCTTCCTGTCTCAGCCTCCCAAGTAGTCAGCATTAGAAGTGTGTGGCTGCCATACCTGGCTAATTTTTTTTTTTTTTTTTTTTGAGACAAAGTCTCTTTCTGTTGCCAGGCTGGAGTTTAGTGATGCAATCTCGGTTCACTGCAACCTCGGCCTCCTGGGTTCAAGCAATTCTCCTGCCTCAGCCTCCCAAGTAGCTGGGACCACAGGTTCATACCACCACACCCAGCTAATTTATTTATTTATTTGTTTATTTATTTATTATTTGAGACAACGTTGCACTCTTTTTTGTCTTTTTTGTTTTAGCTGCAGACTACACAAATATTTTTTTTTTAATTTATTTATTTTTTGATGCGAAGTTGCACTATTGTTGCCCAGGCTGGAGTACTATGGTGCGATCTTGGCTCACCGCAACCTGTGCCTCCCAGGTTCAAGTGATTCTCCTGCCTCAGCCTCCTGAATAGCTGGGATTACAGGCATGTGCCACCACACCCAGTTGATTTTGTATTTTTAATAGAGACAGGTTTTCTCCATGTTATTCAGGCTGGTCTCAAACTCCCAACCTCAGGTGATCCACCTGCCTTGGCCTCCCAAAGTACTAAGATTACAGAAGTGAACCATTGCACCCAGCCTAATTTTTGTATTTTCAGTAGAGATGGAGTTTCACCATCTTGGCCAGGCTGGTCTTGAACTCCTGACCACGTGACACACCCACCTCAGCCTTCCAAAGTGCGGAGATTACAAGCATGAGCCACTGCACCTGGCCCCTAGCTAATTTTTAAATATTTTTTTTGTAGAGATGGAGTCTCACTAGTTTGCCTGGGCTCGTCGCAAACTCCTGGCCGCAAACG